CAGGAGTTGGAGGTTGCTGTGAGCTGTGATGCCATGGCACTCTACCCAGGGGGACAGCTTGAGGCTCTGTCTCAAAAACAAACAAACAAACAAACCCAGTAGGAGTTCTAGTCCTTGCTGTCCCGATCTTTGAAAGTTCATGTCTACCTGAATTAGCTGAGAAACAGATTCTAGTACACATTTGTCTTTGGAGTGAGATGTGACCTTGCTAAAAAGGTGTGTTTTCAAAATCAGGTAGATAGGCTCTAACCCGGAGCTGGTGGGTTAGAATCCAGCCCTGGGTCTGCTGGAATAATGACAACTACAACCAAAAAATAGCCAGCATTATGGTGGGCACCTGTGGTACTGGCTACTTGGGAGGCTGAGGCAAGAGAATTGCTTAAGCCCAGGAGTTGGGGGTTGCTGTGAGCTGTGATGCCATGCAACAGCTTGAGGTTCTGTCTCAAAAAAAAAAAAAAAAAAAAGCTAGATATAAGTCCTTGATTTGGGGCCAGGCATGGTGGCTCACTCCTGTAATCCTAGCACTTGGGAGGCCGAGGTGGGTGGATTGTCTGAGCTCACAGGTTCAAGACCAGCCTGAGCAAGAGTGAGAAAAAATAGCCAGGCGTTGTGGCGGGTGCCTCTAGTTCAGCTACTTGGGAGGCTGAGGCAAGAGAATTGCTTGAGCCTAAGAGTTTGAGGTTGTTGTGAGCTATGACACCACAACACTACTGAGGGTAACACGGTGAAACCATCTCAAAAAAAAAAAAAAGTCTTTGGCTTCATTTTTTAGTATACAAAAATCCAACTAAAGTCTTTTTTTTTTTTTTTTGAGACAGAGCCTCAAGCTATCCCCCTGGGTAGAATGCTGTGGCATCACAGCTCACAGCAACCTTCAACTCCTGGGGTTCAAGCAAGTCTCCTGCCTCAGCCTCCCAAGTAGCTGAGACCACAGGTGCCTGCCACAAGGCCTGGCTATTTTTTGGTTGCAGCTGTCATTGTTTGGCAGCCCGGGCTGGATTTGAACCCGCCACCTTAGTTGTATGTGGCCGGCCCCTTAGCCACTT